AATTATCTGAAAACAATCTATAAAACCGTTGTACCGTTCCTCGATTCAAATTACACGCTCTTCCGGTTGATCAGCGCGATCTATAGATGTCGCCAGTGAACGGTCGTCAGATGAAAATTTTTACTGGTTTCTCTCCTGTAGACGACGCTACTTCGGTAACGGACACACACCTCCGGGAGGACCGAGATGATCCCTTCCTACACGGATTGTGGGATAGCCATTAAAATGCTGTCGGAATAGCATGCGTTGTGAACTGGCCTGCGCAAATCGACCAATCGAGAAACACTTGTGAGTCGGTGGGTACGTTTTCACAGAATGTGACAAACACCGTCGGGCTAAGTGACGATACTACAAGAGAGAGAGGCGCACATATGTACATTTCGTCGCGACAGTCGTCATCGTCGACGTCGGCGTTGTTTGTGCGCCGATCTCGATTCTGATTGCGTTAAACGAGCAACGGAGATTCGCCCCAGAAACGAAAGCGCACGCAAGCAAAAGAATTCACAGAGAAAAAACGAGCTAAAGGGAATCGGTTGACGGAGGGAGGGGGGTAGCGGGCCCAATCTCCCGTTTCCGTGCAAAACAGTCTTGGTCAGAATAGTGAAATCGTTATCCTTTATTCTGGTATTTATAGAACCGAAGCTGATGCACTCGACTGCGATTTTCTGAAGGGGAGAGAGAAACAGGTCTCGGGATAGGCAACGAAAAAGAAGAACCATTTCGACGACGACACTGCACGCGCGGGCTTTTTTCCGGGTACGATTCACGCGTGTGAGTGCGCCATAGTTACACGAGTATATCGCGCCGTGGGGAAAACAGAGACAGACCCATAGAAAAGGAACCACGAACGAGAGCGATAAGGCTACTCGGGAAGAAACGAGAGAACCTTCGATAGTGAAACGGAGTGAGAACGAGTGCATTAGCAAGGGTCGTGAGGAGAAGGAAGGGATCTCCGTCAAAATGTCGCTGAAAACACCAACGCGGATACATTGATTGCTTTTCGTCATTTAACAGGGGGTACGTGCTTTTTTCACGATTTCCTCGCGCCTTTTTTTTCTCTTCTGCCTAGTTGTTCCATCGCCGAATAGACCGAGAGCGACCGAAAAAAACATACGCAGCTTCTTCGACGCTTATAGAGAGAGAGAAAAGTCATAGGTGCATCGATTGCGCACGGTCACCCGGTTTCCCTCTGTTTCCATCAAATATACCTTTCGGTAAAATAATATATTTTTCAGACGGTAAAGAGGGAATTAGGGTACTTTCTTTTCGACATCACAGCCATTATAACCGAAACGAAAGACCGGTTTCGTTTCTATTGAGATTCGAAAAAGTGCGTTCGAAAACAAAGTTTTGGTTCAACTGAAAATAGAAGTACATTTGGTTTTTAAATAATCTGAAATTAACGTGTCTAGATCTGCTTAGGTGCTGTTTGAAATTGGAGTATCTGACTGCTGTGAATAGTGATTGTTGAAGTGAGAGCAAATCAAACAGTATTTTAAATATAACATGGAAACTTGAGCAAATATTTTTTATTCGAATAGTAAAAGTAAAAGGTGTTTTCTGTTGATTCGGATTTGTATGGTATTAGGTAGAGTATTTTTCAAGAATTTCGTTGGAATCATGGTAATTAAGTTAAAATACATTATGTTTCACAATTGAGTAATTCTAAAATTTAAACATTTAATAGATCAACAGTTAGAAAAATTGATTTCAAGGTACACATTGCTGGATTATGGAACGGAATCCAAATCTCACTGTTTTTCTCTTTCCTGCGGTAGGTTCTGAGTTTATTACAAAATGCATAATTGTCTTTGATTTAAATATTTTCTAGAGCTACAAAAATGTAAGTAAAGCTTATTCAGCTAAATATAACTAGAATTTATGCAGTATGTCTTTAGCCACTATCATATTTCCTTCCTTCCAACTTTCCACAACATTTTCCTATTTTACAAGAATGATATCAAGTACACAATGTGTTTCATTTAAATGAAGTTATTTTGCTTTCTAAGTTCTCATATTACATGAAATACTTATTTAAATTGACTTAGATATTCACTATTTACAACAGTATAACAGGTACCACCTAACTCAGATTCATATTCCTTCTGGGCTCAATATTCAAGAAACCTTACATTTTCTGAGTACTTCAAAATTTAGAATAAATTATGGTATTTCATTTTTCAATACAGTGAATACGAAATTTGTATTTCACATTCTTTGTTATTCAAATATTCTCAAATTTAATTTCTTATATTCTCAAAGAAAATTTGAAATATTGTGATGTTTACATTTCTGTTGGTGCCCATTGTTTTAAAAAAGATTATGTTTTAATAATGCATTTCAGTTTTAAAATTTATCCGGCTTCGGTTTGTATCAGTATATCTACAATTTTGTCGTGCGTGTTATGTGCCTAATACGCTACGGCCATTTCGTTACGGTGGCGGGTAAATATATTTATGCCCATCTGTTCGTATTCGTTGCATATTTTTATTTTCTGATTATTTTGTATCATCGACGAAGACATAAGCTGCTTGTGTTCCATACATTTGTTGTCAATGAAAGAATCCCAACCTCTAGGGTACTTTTTGTAATCTGTAATTTTGATTTTTCACAATGAAACTGAGAGCTAAACAGTAAGGATGGTGATTTTCGTCCTGTGCCAACGATTTTATTAATATTGTATCCATTGCTGTTAATGCTCACTTGTTGTTTTCGTGCTCTTCGAAATGTATAGGAATAATTGGTTCGTGTCTGAAAATCTTTAAAAATCTCGGTAGGTTACATCGCTCATTTGTTTTCTGTCGATATCATGAAGAAATCTCGACAAGCTATTTCAACATATAATTTTTATCAAACAGTTTATGCCAGAGTGGAGTGCGTTCTGAAATATTTCTATAACTAACGGGAAATTTTGCATCATTTACCTACTAACAGTGGAATTAAAATTTCTTGTATTTTCCATCGTTCTTATGTTGTTCATATATCGAACGATGTTTTAAACGTTTAAATAATTGTACAAGTTTGAATTAAAATATAAATTCTATACATAGTTTTCATTATTTATTTCATGATAAAACAATAACTTAAAAAGATTTGTACATATAAACAATTACTTTATTATAATTCTTGTAATTAATTTTGTGAATGTTTAGTTAAGAATTTAAGTTTCCTCAAACATTTTTTAAATGCAATGTGTAAATTAACAGGTACGTAAGGTGCAAAAGAATTGTATAATAACATGATTAACAATATCATTATATTTTTTGCTATACTACAAAAGTAATAGGTATTTGATTATATTACTCGATCAAATAAGAGTACTGTGAATTTTTTGTTGAATGTGTTGTTCATCACTATTGTTTTCTTTATCATCAATTTGTAAACCTAAAAAGTCACGGTATTCATTTTTCTGATTAGTTGTACTGTAATATATTATAAAATAGGAAATTTTTTTTTGATTGACAGATTATAAAATGTGTTTTCTATCATTTGTAATAAATCATATTTTAGGTTTCTGGCGAAGCTGATTACCTAAAACATTAAAAATATGGTATCAACTCGTCAGTCAAGTAACATGGGAGGAAGTAATGGGGGTGGGCCAGTTACTGAAGTTGCAGATGTGAGTTCTTCAAGAAGACATCAATCTGTAACAATGGCTAGTTCTTATAGTGGAGCATCGGTTTCGGATTCACCCACCTTTAGTAACTTAAACCTTTTGGACTTACCTGTTGAAATTCTCGAAAAGATTTTAAGCTATCTGGATTATAATACTATAGCTCACTTACGCCCGGTAAATAGAAATGATATGTATTATATAAGTGATGTAAGTCGGTTGAGCAGCAGTGTAGCAAATTGTTTATATTTATTTATTTTTCATAGGTATGTCATCAAATGGACCGTGTTTGTGGATCCATATTAAATTCCACATTTCAAAAACTTCAAGCACAAATGTTAAGTCGTTTTCATGCAATTAAAGCACAGATGCCAAGACGTGAATCTGCACGTCGTAATCATCCACTGGCTTGCGAATCAGATATAATTGAAACGCTTCACATGCGACTTACTTTACTTCAGATGAGTTTTGGCAAGCACATTGAACGTAAACATTGTTGTTTTTTTCCTGGGGAGGTAACTTAAGTTTTTCTTGTTATTAATCATAGAATTAAATATATACGTCCATTGTCAAGTACATAAGGAATTTAATTTACAATTATATTTTAGATTTTAGATGAAGTTTATCGTATTTTACATTACATAAAAATTAGTCCGAAATTAGCCAGGCCATATAAAGTTACAGACGAGTTGTTTGATTTAAGTACTATGGCTATGGAGTACTTTAAGGAACGTATCGAGCCAACATTACCAGAAATTCCTTATTTTGGAGCTGATTTCCTAGACCTTGCTGGAACATTTTCCTGTGAGCAAAAAAATTAGAATTTTCTCAATTGTTTAGCTGAAGACAATTTTATAATATGTTTTATGTAAATGGATACAGCTTCTAGTAATGTGAGCAAACCATTTATATGCCTGGACTCTGCACCCCTAACTGTTGGAAGTAGTAAGGCAGGAAGTAATAGTGGTGAAGAAGGTTCTCCTCCACACTCTTCAGATGATCCTGTTCTTTTGGAATCCAGTGTATCACCTCCACAATCAAATATGGTGTTACGAAAACGAATTCGTAAGATCAAGCAAGGCATGAAGCGGTATAACAGTCAGTTAACATTAATGCGTAGAGATCTAAGGAATTGCAAAGCAAAAATAGCAGAACAACAAAAGCAAATTGTCGAATACGCTACACGTCTTGATGAAAATGACAAGAAGAACGAAGAAACTTCTCGCAAATTTAGCACACTCCTACAGGTATTTACGAAGGTACACTTAGTACTCATAAGACTAATATGTGATAGAAGAAGCATATTACTTATACGCATACAAGTTTCGTGTTATTTAAATATTTCGTGAAGTTAGGATTTATCTAGAGTTGAAGGTAAAATTACTAGAACTATTTACATTTTCCTAATGTATTGTTAGTGATAGTTTGTACATGTGTTGCGTAGGAATTGAACAAATGTAAAACAGAGCTTCAGTATTGGCGATCCAAATCTCCAGCGATACCAGTATGTGTAGTCTGTGGCCAATCTATGTTAACACCTTCAGAGGACATACAAGTTTTAAATAATCAGGGAGTAGTACCAGAGACGGCAAATGAAGAATTAGACTTCATTCCCATAGCAGACTCTCAGAGTCCTACCGAAGTGGCTCCACAGCCAACAGTTACACAGCCTTCATCGCCAGCATCGACAGAGGAAATGGCACCACCAAAGGCTCCTGTGCCTTCGTTATCTACGAAACGGAAATCTACATCAGATGAAACACCTAGCGACGCCGGAAAGAAACCTCGTCGCACTGCCAAGTCACGTCAGGTCAAACGTTCGAAGATATAAATCGATTCTGATCATGGTACAAAAATATTTAACTAACATCCTTACTGAGTTTTTGAGGAATAGGGGGTCTCTCGGTTTAAGCTAGACGTGTTTCTTTACGTTAGCGAACAAATGATCTTAGAAAAGTACAAAATTCTTTCCTGAACGTCCTGCATTTCGCGCAACGAACCTCGTTTTTGAAAATTATAGCCACGTCGGTTACCGCGCGATGGGGATTGACGCGATTAATTTTCCTATTTTTATTACGGACGGATTCGTTACGCACGGTGACATCTACAAATATTCTAAATGATAGCTGATCATTTGGTTCGTTCGTAAAGCAACACGGAGCAATCTTCTTTTCACGGGAGTCCATTTAAACATTATTTTCACAATGGTATACACAATGATTACGCAAACGTTGAATTTTATGTGATACGTTCGTTTTATATCAAGCTGTAGAGCAGATGTAACATCAAGATGCGATGTCAGGAATTCATCTTCTGTGTATCTTAAATGCAGATATAACGCATTAACTTTCCGTTCGTGCGAGACATTTCTGACGTGTTTCTTTTTTGTTATAATGATTTTTCTATTCTGTAAATCTGATTCGCAACTGTTCAATTAAATGCCGATTAGACAATACAAGACCAAATGCATTAATGTAACATTTGGTAATCAAACAAAACGAAGATTCTTACATAATAGAATGTAAGATTAATATCTGAAATTTCTGAAGAAATTTCGATTACATATGTTATTGTTTAGTACTCTTTTAATTAAAGAAATGATAACTATACGTGATTATCGTTGTCCCTTGCATAGATAGGGGATTATATTCTTATCTTTGTAGAGATTTTTATTTAAAATTTCAAGTGGACATTCGACATGATTCTAGCAAATTTTACTTTGCAGTATCAATAAATAAGTACCTGAGGGGACTGACTAGGACTGGTTCGCGCAGGTACTCCAACTTCATCAATATTCATATCAATTTTCTAATTTATCTAAATCTGCTCAATTGAAAGGAAGAGAAAAACTCATTTCTCCTTGAAATGGTTTGTGTATACCACTTACGCTATCATGAATTTAATCACAAAAAAATGGATAGTGAAAGTCAAAGACTAATGAACTGCATTGCTTTTGCATAATACCATGTGACGTCAGTTTATTTTTCTGAATACCGATAAATGAATTTATAATTAAAAATGGAAAGAATAATTTAGCGAAACAGCTCACCGATAATGAAATCAAAAGCACTTTTAATAATGTAAAGTTTTGTGAGCCTTAAAAATGCGATGTTGGGGAGAAAGTGGATTGTAAACGTGAGCGAAACATATGCTAAATACCTTTACCTTTGAAGGGTGTTATTTTGTTTTTAACGCGTCATCCATTTGAACAAGCGATTATCTCGCAGGATGGCGTATATTGCAATATTAATAGCGCTAGGAAATTATTTATAGGATCAATTTATTTATAGGAAAATGATTGTCAGATTATTTTAACGAAAATAAATTTGAACACATGAATTTTGTAATTTATCAATCACGTTAATTAAAAATTTACTGATTCCACATCACGCACGTGAAAGAATGATATGTAGGAAACAATTGAATGTTTTTTTATTTAATTAAATTGATTGAAACTTCCCGTTCATGTAATTTCATTTAAAAATCGGACGGATTACCCTGCGCGATGCTTGATGATCGGTCTGTGTAGATTCAATTATTTCATTTGCACCAATCCTAATTAATCTCAAAGATGCATAGTTCGAAATATTGTGAGTTATTATTCATGATTCTAGTAATAAATATAAATGATACTGATAATAAGTAAATGATACTTTATTATAAATATATAAATATATAAATATATAAATATATATTTATATATGTATATATATATTTGAGTGCGGTACTTGCCAGGACATGCATACCACACAAAAAGCACTTTAGTTTAAACTTTAATGGAACAATAAGAATATGATAATGAATGATGAAATAATTATATATATATATGCATATATATAATTTTTTATCGATGTCGAAAATTAATTAGGAAAAAAGTAAAAACTAGTGAGCAGACGGAGATACGTGTACGTCACAACCACACATGATGTATGAGAGTAATGAGAGCGAGTCTTATGAGCGTGTGATACTTAATGAAAATGAAACACTAAATTCAAACTTAATAAGAATTTATGATGTGATGCTTTATCGATTTAACTGCGGGAAAGTGACCTTTATTCAAATAAAATACATGTGGGGCGTTTCTG